TTGCTCCCATACCATCATCACCGGCAGCAGGACAGAGTGCACACTCTCCTCACCAGTCATTTAATAGCAAAGCAAAAGAAGCAAGAGCTGTTCGACAGCAGAAGGCTCCCACAACCCTGCTGCCTCCCTCTGCTTACTCCACTCACTCCCTCTGGAAACTGAGTGCAAATTAACCGAGGCTTTGTCAGCTGAGAGGGGGATATTAATAGATGCAGAGATGCAGAGCTTCTTGCTCCACCCCCACCCCTCCTCTGATCCTCCTCTTCGGGCTAATCTAAAGCTTGGAGAAAATGAATCTTAAAGTAATCTGAGGTGAAATCCCCTGGAAGAAATAGGAGGTAGCTTAGTTTTAGGAAAAGGGCATTGGTCTGGGAGTCTCGAGGCTTGGGATGCCATCCTGGCTAGGCCATTAAATTGCAGGTGTGTCTCAGTTTCCCCTTTGCAAAATGTAGAGGATAATAATATCCTCTGAATATCAAAGGAAATAATGGAGTTGAAAGTGCTTTGCAAAGCACAAAGCTCCATGTAAATTCAAGTTAATTGTTATTATTATTAAGTGCAAAATTCTAATCAGGACTTATTCTACTACTAGAGACAGAGATCCTCTAGAGCAGGGACCATGCTAGTTTATCAGGATATTTCCTCCAGCACCAAGTACACTGCTCTGTATACAGTAAAATCTTCAATAAATATTAAGTGGAATTGGAATGAGTTAATTCACTGTTAAAGAAAAGTATTGGGGCAGTTAGGTGGTGCAGTGGATAGAGCACCAGCCCTAGAGTCAGGAGGACCTGAGTTCAAATCCGACATCAGATACTTGACACACCAGCTGTGTGACCCTGGGCAAGTCACTTAACCCCATTGCCTAGCCCCACCTCCAAAAAAAGTTGAGGCAAGAAGTTGGTGACAAAAGCTTCATAGAGGAGGGCAAGCTGGGGAACTTGGAGAAAATCCGAATAAATTGAAAGAATGGGATGGGGTAGCAGAAATACAGGTAGGAAGTAATATGAAATCTATTATATTTGAGTATGTGACCTAAGCTAATCAACATCATCTATACTTCCCTATGTATAACTCCCTCACTCCCTCTAGGGGAGCCTTATAATAAAGTCTGAAGGAAGAAAAGGGGGAAAAGTTACATAAAGCATATTTTTAAAAAATCAAAAAAGTCTGATACCATATGTATAACTCATATAACCCATGAGCCCCTAAGAAGGGGTAAAAGGAAGGAGAGGAGAGGGATTTTCTCATTTCTCCTCTCTGGGGCCAAACTTGATCATTATAATTCCAAATCATTCAGTTTTAATTTTTTTTATTGCTAATTACATTATTGCATATAATGCCTGCTAGTTCAACTAACTTTGCTTTGTTTTGGTTGATAAAAATCTTTCCATGCTTCTCTGAATTCATCATTTTCATAATTTCTTACAACAAAATACTATTCCATTATATTCACTTACCACCAATCTGTTTAGCCATCCACCAATTAATGGTTACCACAAAAAAATGCTGCTAAAAATATTTTGCTATAAATGCGGACTTTCTTTATGCCATTGACCCTGAAGTGTATGTATGTCTACCAGTAGAATTTCTGAGTCTAACTAAGAGTATGGATATTTTAATCACTTTATTTACATAATTCTAGATTTCTGTCTAAAATGATTGTACCAATGCACAGCTTCACCAGCAATGCATTTGAGAGCCTGTCTTTCTACCACCCATCCCCCAACATCTAATTTTATATAATCCTACGACTAATCCCATCTTTTATCATCTTTGACAATTTGCTGGATGTGCTTTGAAACTTCAGGATTGTTTTGATTTGCATTTCTCTTATCATTCATGATTTGCAGTCTTCTTTCATTTGGCTGTAAATAATTTGCAATTTTCTTTTTTTGGCTTATTTTAAGTTTATTTTTAAAATAAGTTTTTATTGATATTTTGTGTTTCTTTTATTACCATAGTATCCCAAGTATGCCTTGCCCTCCCCCTCCATGAGAGTCATCCCATAAGACAAATAGTATTTTTTAGAAAGGAAAAAAAAACCCAGCACAATGGATTGATACATTGAAAAAGTCTGAAAACAATGTGTAATATATAACCACCTGCACCAAGGGTCAGGTTGGGGATATTTTTTCATATTTTCTCATTACAGTCCTCCTTGATCTTTATAATTTTGTTATTTACTTTTGATTTTTTTTGGCATATCATTGTTCTTTCCATTTACATTGTTGTAGTTACTACGAATATTGTTTTCTTGGTTCTGCTTACTTCACTCTGCATCAGTTCACAGAAATTTTGCCATGCTTCTCTGTATTCATCATATACATACATCATTTCTTACAGTTCAATATCCTTACGTCCATGTACCACAGATTAGACAGGCATCTACTATGTTTCCAACTCTTGCTATTGTAAAAAGTGCTACTGTTACAAATATTTTGAAATATATGGGGACTTTTCTTCCTTGGGATATAAGACCAGTAATGGCATCTCTTGTTTAAGAGGTACTAATATTTTAGTCAATTTATTTGTGTAATTCTAAATCCTTTCCAAAATGGTTGTATCAAGGGGCAGCTAGGTGGCGCAGTGGATAGAGCACCGGCCCTGCAGTCAGGAGGACCTGAGTTCAAATCTGGCCTCAGACCAAACACTTGACACTTACTAGCTGTGTGACCCTGGGCAAGTCACTTAACTCCAATTGCCTAAAAAAAAATACATTGGGGCAGCTAGGTGGCGCAGTGGATAGAGCGTCGGCCCTGAAGTCAGGAGGACCTGAGTTCAAATCCGGCCTCAGACCAAACACTTGACACTTACTAGCTGTGTGACTCTGGCATGTCACTTAACCCCAATTGCCTAAAAAAAAAAAACCCAAGAAACAAAATGGTTATATCACTTCACAGCTCCGCCAACAATTTATTAGTATACCTACTCTTTCATAACCCCTCCAACATTGACTTGCCATTTTGGGTGGTCATTTTCACCAATTTGCAGGGTGTAAGGTGAAACTTAGAGATGTTCTTATTTAAACTCTCTTGTTGGTGATTTGGAACATCTTTTCATGTGGTTGTGGATACTTTGAAATTCTTTGAAGAACTTTTTGTTCATATCTTTTGACCACTAATCTATTGTGATGACCTTTCAGTCTTACATATTTCTGCTAGTTGTCTGAATAGCTTATCAGAGATACCTGATAAAAATATTTTTATTTCTTCACTAAACCAATTCCCTATTCCTGTCGCAGTTGTATTAATTTTGTTTACACAAAGGCTTTTTAATTTCATGTAATCAAAATTATCTGTTTTATCTTTTGTAATTGCCTCTATACCTCGTTTGATTAAGAATTCACCCTGTACCCACAGCTGTGAAAGATCTATGTTTTCCTTCTAATTTTTTAATGGTATGATCTTTGATATTCAGATCATATATCTGTTGTGAATTTATTATGGGATGTGGTGTGGAAATAATGTCTAAATCTGATTTCTGCCAGACTCCTTTCTTGTATTCCCAATAGGGAATTCTTATTAAATTGGGAGTTCTTTTCTGGGTAATTTATGTTTTTAAGGCTTACAGAACATTGGATTGAGTTTAATTATTTTTCCTTGTCTTTTCTGTTTCATCAATTCTTTTCTATTTTTTAACTAATAACAAATGTTTTTGGTGATTGCTACTTTATAGTGTGAAGAAGAGCTATTCCTCTTTCATTCTGATCTTTTCACCATGATTTTCCTTGATATTCTAGACCTTTTGTTCCTCCAAATGACTTTTGTTATTATTTTATTATGTTAACATTTTACATTATCATATGTTATATTAGGACAGATAGGTGGTACAGTGATAAATCCAAGTTCAATCTGGGCCTCACACACTTTGTAGCTGACTGACCATGGGCAAGTCACTTAGTCTCTCATTGTCTCAGTTTCCTAAACTGTAAAATGGAGATAACAGCACCCTCCTCCCAGGGTTGTTGTAAGGATTAAAGGAGATAAATGTAAAGTGCTTAGCATAGTACCTGGCAAGCAGTAGACACTGTGTAAATTCTTATTCCTTTCCCTTCACCATTTCATCTAGCTCTGTACAGTATCCCTTTGGTAGTTTGATTGGTATAGTACTAAAATCTGCAAGTCAATTAAAATTTTAAAAATATATTTGAAAATATTGCCATTTTTATTTTAGTGGTATGATCCAGACATGAGCACTGCACATTTAAGCTATTCTTTATTTCCTTAAGGAGTGTTGTATAGGTTCATATATATAGGTAATGAATGTGTTTTGGTAGATTGACTCCCAGATATTTTATGTATTTCACAGTTATTTTGAATAGGACTTCCCTTTCTTTTATTCCTCCTAGATTTTGCCATTGTTAAATAAAAATGCTCTTTACTTTTGTGGGCTAACTTTGTAGCCTGCAACTTTATCAAAGCTCAATTAGTTTCTTTACTGATTCCCTAAGATTTTTTAAGCAAAATGTATCATCTTCAAGTAGAGATAGTTTTGTCTCCTCTCTGCTTAAATTTATGCCTTTAATTTATTTTTCTTGTCTTATTGCTAACATTTCTAGAAGTAGGTCAAATAATAGTGGGGAAAGAGTGTATTTCACTTTATTCCTACATTTCTTGAGAAAGCTTCTAGTGTTTCCTCATTATATATAATGCTAGATTTAAGAAAAAAAATACCTCTGTGCCTAAATGAGTTGTTCTTTGTCAGAGGCTTTTTCTGTATGTATTTAGATAATGTTGTGGTTTGGGGATGTTTCCATTTTTAATATGATTATATTAACTATTTTTCTAACATTGCACCATCCTTGTATCTCTGGTATAAATACAAGTTGATTATAGTGAATGATTTTTTGGAATTAAATGTTTCACTCTCTTCACCAAGACTTAATTGAAAATTTATGAATTGATATTGCATGGATACGTCTTACCTTCTTTATCAGATGATGAATTCCTTTAAGCAAGGGGTATCTCTGTGCAGTATGAGTACATGGAAGGACATACCTGGAAAAGTTCTGAGTCTTCCCCGCAGGTGCCACACTGGCTGAACCCGTTTTCAGTTGTCTCAGGGCCCCATTGAAGCTCACTGAAGCAGCTGGCAGAATCCAAGTCACTGGCATCCAACTGGGAGAGGTCAAGGTCTTGGAAATCTTCGTAAAGGTGCTCCTCCCCTGTGCCCTCACACTGCAGAGATAGGAAAAGGGAAAGGGCCCAATGGCTATTGATCTGGCTAGGCTTTCCACACTGAAACAACTGAGTAATGCTACAGCCATGGCCTTGTGAGTCCTGGTCCAGGTTCTGCACTCTATCCACTGAGCCACCTATCTGTGTTGATGGCTCATTTGCTGAGGTTTTAAGAAAATGGTAGTACCTGCCTAGGAGAAAAGAGGCATGCTGGGCATCATCTGAAACAAATGAGTTGACCATCCACCTCTCACTATAATATCTTCCTGTGCAAGTTTGGAAAGAACATTTACTGGTTTTCTTCCCTCCCATCCCCTGCTTTGGGAACAATTTATTCTAAATTGGGAAACCACTGGGGAATGTTCAAAAGTAGGTAAGTTCATCTTTCTTTTCCAGTCTGTGCATCAAAAGGAAGAACAAAGGAAAACCTGGGGGTGTGGGGGGGGGGACCTCCAAACACCAATATTTTAAGTTCCTCATGTTGTCTGAGTCCAAACCATCTCAGCAGGAAGACTCAGCTTATGATTACAGGCAAGTTACTTAACCTTTGTAAGGACTAATACAAGATAGAGAAAAATATTCCCTAAACACTGATACTTAATTTACTGAAATAGCAATGATCCGCCCCTTGTTCTGATAAACAAAATAAGCAGATCACTGTTTAGTTTTATGATACATAGCAACACTCTGCCAGTCTGAAGACCAGATTAAAGCAGCAAATCACAATACAAGTATTGGCAGAGATGCGGGATGAACTGGGGTCAATAACAGGAGACAGAATGAAAGCAGGAAAGATGCTCCTGGACTTCCTGATACTGAGGGTAAAGATGAAAAATAGATAAATAGCAGACCCAGCATCTTATTATCTCACAGGACTATAAATAGATGCCCACAATGATGGTCCTGAATCATCAGAAAGAGCTATACACTAATGCTCAGTATTTTGTGCTTAAGAAGCTAAGGAAGTATGTGATAAATATTAAAAATGTTCTCATCCAAAATGTGTGTGTCTGTGTGTTTTTAAAAGTAAATCTTGGTGTTTGAAAGAGCGAGCCTCAATTCTGTGGAAATGTTCAGGCTGTGGAAGCCTCGTTCCCCAAGGGTACAAGAGGTACAAATGGCGTTACAGTCAATCTCTGCTTGAAAACAAACCATGCAGGCCTTCTCTACCAGCAGCTCAAGTGAACAGCTCTTAGAGTTGTGACTCACACCAATTATGGTCTGGTCAGGCACCAAGAACAGGCTTTCTGGAGGGTGATAAAACACAGCACAATTCAGAGGCTTCTTCCTGATAAATTAGGAACAATGGAAGACCCCTCAAAACAAGGCGTGTGCTTCTCCAACAGTGTGGAGGACTACCCATTTTAACTCCCGACAGGCCTTGTCAATCACCCTATGGTTTCTCTGACTAGGGAGGTAACATCAGCTTGACCTGGAGGGTTTCACAGAAAGCTCAGGCATAATCATGTATGACAGATTTTGTTGAGGGAAACTGTGATGTGCTTAGGGTCTCTCAGGCTTTTCAGTCATGTCAAGGAAGTCAATTATTCCTTTTCCCCAGATCTCTGGTGCTATCAGAGATGGAATGGATAGCTACACGAGGGGAGCATTCTACTGCCCTTGTATTCCCCCCTCCTCCCCACCTATCTGCCTGTCTCAGAATCCATCTGAGCCAGCTAAGCCGCAATCACGCAGTGAATTCTGCTCCCTTGCCTACCTCCTTCACCCAGCCGCTTGACTGATCACATGGTCTGGATGAGATGGAAGCCAACAACTGCATTTCTTCTGATGAGATGGAGGCCTCCCCATCTACCCCACCACTGATTCCTAAAATTCTTCAGGCTTTACTTTGTGCCTCACAGTCCCCCAGCACAGTCATCTCATCTACTTATGGGCCTCTTTTACTAAGGACTTTTCTAATTGGGTGAGACAACATATATGAGAAAATTCAGCTGCAGGGTGATTAGAAATGTCAAAAGTCATAAGTGTACAATGATGAGACCAAGAGAGAGGCCTAGAGCTTAGCACAGTGCTTGGCACATGGTAAGTGTTTCATCAATGCTTTTTCATTCATTCATTTATCAGTCCCACTGTTGTTCAGTCATTTTTCAGTCATGTCTGACTCTTCATGACCCCATTTGGGGTTTTCTTGGCAAAGATACCAGAGTGGTTTGCCATTTCCTTCTCCAGCTTATTTTACAGATGAGGAAACTGAGGCAAACAGGGTTAAGTGACTTGCCCAGCCAGTAATTGTCTGAGGCTGGATTTGAACTCAGGAAAATGAGTCTTTCTGATGCCAGGCCTACCCAGCACTCTGTCCACTGTGCCTCCTAGTTGCCTCAGTACTACTAGCGTGAACGGTAGGGATGACAGGGTTATTTTCAAGTTCCCCCATTAGACTGTAAGTTCCTTGAGGGCAAGGATTCTCTTTTGCTTCTTTTGAGCTTAGTTTAGCACAGTGCCTGGCACATGGGAAGCACCTAATAAATGGTTTAGTGATTCATTAACCCGCCCTCCTCTATAGGAGCAGTTTCACAGAAGAAAACTTTGCCTTACTCCATCACTGATATTTTAGTCCAAGGGGGTCAAAGACAGAAACAAAGATTCATTATATACCAAAATATTTATTCATAACAGCACTTTCTGTGGTAGCAAAAAACTGGAAACAAAGTGAGTACCCATCAACTGGAGAACAGGTAAACTAATTGTGACAATGAACAGAAGGAATTCAGAGAAACCTAGGAAGACTTGTAGCAACTGATACACTAAGAAAAAAATCGAACAAGGGAAACATTGATGGTCACTACAACAGTACAAAGAAATAAACAACCAGATACAGCTAACAGCAATCAGTGAGTAATCATAATGACCAAAATGGGGAGAACTGAGGAGGAAATGCACCTGGTCCTTTGCTTGGACAGGTGAAGGACTATGGGTTGCATATACTGCCACATGAAACTGATGTAGAGGAGGGAGGGGAAGGGAACAAGAATTTACTACAGGTCTAGTATGTGCCAAGCATTGTGGGAAGAGCTTTATAGACATTGTCTCATTCAATCATTTGGTTTGGTTTTGCTTAATGATTTTTTTTTCCTCTTTGTTAAAAGGTAAGGTTCATTGGGGGAAGGTTATATAGAGAAATGATTAATGTATATACAAAAGGCATCAATCAATAAAACAAGAGAAAGAAAGATAGGAAGTTAGCAAAATAGAGGAGACACACACAAGAAAGTGTTAAGTCCCAAATCAATTTTCTGCCTCTTCTCTAAAACTCCTCAAAGGTTGAGAGGGAGGAGGATTTATATTAGGATGAGAGAGAGTCCACCCTCGTTCAAGGAGATTTTGTGCTCTCCGTCTAATGATAAAGTATGACTGATAAACAAACAAGCAGATCTGTATTAATGAAGAGGAACTGTACGAGTTTAGATGACCAAGAACATTCTGGAGCTAAAAGAATTCAGAGAAAGGAGACCCAGAATGATGAAGTGCCTCAGCTAGAACATTTGATGTTTACCCTAGAGGAGATCTGGCAGGGACAGGGTCATCATTTTCCTATATCTGCAACATTGACATGTGAGATAGGAATCACACTTGTTTTCCTTGGCCCTAGAGAGCAAAATCAGGAACAGTGGACCAGAGTCACAGCAGGGCACATTTGGCAATATCAAGGAAAAATATCCTAAGTGGAAGCAACTGCATTCGGAGACAATGAGCACCCAATGTCTGAAGGTCTTTAAGTGGAAGTTAGGTGACCAGCTGATCTGATAGAAGGGGTTCCAGCTCAGAAATGCACCAGCTTTCTGAGGTCTGTTCTGCCTGAGGTTCTTTGGGTCGTTTGGAGGCTAAATGACCACTTATCAAGGATTTTATAGACAGGATTCAGGCTTTGTCTGCAGGATTAGATTACATGACCCTGAGATCCCTTCTAACCTGGGTTTCTATGAATCTGGTTTAGGTATTGAACAAAGGGGATAGTTAGAAAAACCACTAGATTTTGATCAAAAAGCCTAGACTGGAGTCCTGTCTGTTATTTTACTACTATGTAACCTCAGACAAGTCACTAAAACTCTCTGGGTGTTACTTTCCTTACCTGTAAAGCTAAAGGATTGAACTACTGGGGTTCTGAGACTGGAGTCTACAAACATAGCTTTTAAAGCTGCATTTTGGTAACAGTATTTCAAAAGAATTGGCTTCCTTTGTATTTTATTTTGTGCACTTACCAACATTATTCTAAAAAGAGGACCATTAGACCACACCAGTCTGCCAAAGGGGTCCATGATGCCAAAAAAAAAAAAAGATTAAGAACCCCTCATAGAGGTGATCTCTAGGGTCTTTCCAGCTCTAAACCCTATGATTCTATGAAGTTATAGAGTCACTGTATAAAGCCTTACATTGCTACAATTATTTATATTTAGCTCCTAGTCTCAAAATTGTAGGGCATCTTAGTGGTTAAGTTGCCTGCTTCCTGGGCCAGTAATCCTCTCTTTTTATAGCAAATGGCTCTCCTAGCAAATGGTCATAAAGTGGCTGCTTGAACACTTCTGGGGATCAGAAGCATGCTATCTATTGAGGCAGCCCACTTTTTTTTTCATATGCTGAACTGAAATTTACCTCCATGTGATTTTCCTTTGTTAGTCCTAGATCTGTCCTCTGCAGATACCATAATAATTCTGGTCCCCCTTTCCCAAGTGACCACTTCAAATCTTCAAAGACCATGCTCATTCTTCTCCACCCTCCCTTAAGCTTTCTCTTCTCCTCACTAAACATTACCAAATCCTTCAACAGGTCCCCATATAAGATAGTTTCACATCCCTTTCCCATCTTGTCATGTCTCTCTCTGGACACATGTCCTATGGTACACATAGCTGCCTACAGTGTTCCAAATAGGGCCTGACTAGGGGCAGTTAGATGGCGCAGTGGATAGAGCACCAGCCCTGGCATCAGGATGACCTTAGTTCAAATCTTGCCTCATACTCTAGCTGCGTGACCCTGGGCAAGTC